AGCGAAATTTGTGCAGCTACTATGATTATTATAAAATTACTATCCTTTTAATATTAACTATGAATAAGCTTGACAAGAGCCTGAAATAATATCTATTATTATTGATTACGGCTTGCTTATGAATAAATAAATAAATAAATAAATAAATAAATATTACGTATTATTTGTTATTGTGCATTTAATTTGCATTAATCATTTATCTTTATTGTTTATTGTTACAAAAATGATAATTGAAATATAATTCACATGCTTGTAGACAGATAAAAAGATATATAATTTGGTGGAGAGTTTTAAAAAAAATAAATGGAAAAAATATTAAAATAACTATCAAGATTTTTCAGTTACGATAAACCCATTGTTTCGCTTTCGTACCTAAAATAAACTTTTGTTTTATCTCTAAATTGTAACGAAGATACTTTAAACAGTTTTGTTTCAATTTTTTTTTCTTTTAGCCTCATTTAGTTTTTTTTTGTACAGAACCTGTAAAAGTTCAAGTAAGCACTAGAAAAAAGAACAATAACTAGGCGTAAGTGGCATTTTCCATTAAGGCAAGTTTTGGCGTAGATCAGGAAAGTAAGAAACGTGCACGAAAGTGTCAAATGTTAAATAATGACTTGAAACCAAAAAAACATAATACATATTAGGAAAAAGATTTTTTTGAAGATATTACTGACTTCTCCCTAGAAAAATTAATCAGTTTGTTTAGTGAAAGAAAAAAATCTGAATTTGTGATGAAAACACAGACGAATAATAACATACTTTTTAAAACTGGGGGTATGTTTCTACAATTCGCACTTTGTGTGTATGTGTGTCATTTAAGAATAAAAAAAAACAGTAAAATTATTTTTGTTGTAGTATTATATTAAACCTAATATAATTCTCAAATATGAATATCAGTAGTTTAATATTCGGGTCAGTTCACGAGAATTTCTAGTGTTCCTTTTATCAAATTCATTGACCTCATATTACACATCGTTTTTGGGAAGTAATTATATTTATGTTGATTTGATAAAACTGTTACCCAACTAAAAAGATTTTTGATAACAAATTTCTTTATCATTAACGTTAGTCCCTCATTATAGAAGAACTATGGTTAATGTGTTAAAATGGCACAATTTGAATAGAAAGGAAAAAATAGCGTTCAAAGTTTATTTAGAATACTGAATCAGTATTAAATGTAAAATGCATTAATTGTAGTAGTGAATTTTATATAATTATCAGGCTCTTTTTATAAAAGAGAATTATATATTTGTAAAGCAATTATAAAAATGTTTATATTTATACAGGCTTAATGTATTATGTCTTTTTTTTTCTTGAAGGCTTGAAACTTATAAGCATTTATTTTTTCTGTATTTCATGAAATTGCGCCTATACAGTATACCAATTGAGTTAAAATAATCATTTTCCCATTTTTTTTAAAAATTTTTGTTGGAAAAAAAAATGGAATACTACAGAATGATCATTTATTGCTAAGATAGCATAAGTTATTCTGCTCACAATTTAATATGGTTGTAAATATATTTATCGTCATTGCTAATTGTTTTATTATGATCATATATCATACTGAAAATATCTAAAAAAGTTATGTTGTCATATGTATATATATATGTATATATAAAAATATATATATATATATATATATATGTGTGTGTAGTATATGACATATATTATATTACTTAAAATTACAGAATAAAGTCGATCGATTTAAAGAAAAATCGGTATATAAGAAAGAAGAGGTTATAAATACCAAATATAAAAAAAATAAAATAGACAATATTAGTTTCAAATACTTGTTATCTTTGTAAATATTTATAATAATATCTTTATATGCATGTTGATATTGTATTTGAGCTAAAATTCCAATAATCAAGTTCAGTGCACCTACGCACAAATATGAATAATTTTATATTTGCATAAAGATGACGTTTGCAAAAAATTACGAAACGTTTTATAAACATGATATACTAATAAACGTATCGAATTACCGCTGAAAATAACAATAACACTAACAATAAGTGCATCCTGTATGGCAAAATCGAAGAAATAAAATATTCGCTTATATTTGCATTTAATACTCTGATGTCATATTATTTGTTTGTTACTATTAATAAGAAATATATGCATTAAATTTTCGAACTGACTATAGTCAGAATTACAATTAAAATCCGAATTATTTTCGAAAACAAAAAAATTTTTCTTGCAAAAAAAAAATTGAAAAAAAAGTTGAAACAAATTTTTTTTTTCCAAAATCAATTATTTTGTTAAGATAAGCAGAAAGTTCTTTGAATCATTTAAATCGGACGCTTAGTTCTCTCAAAAGCCATTTTTTGCATATTTAGCTCCGTATCTTCAAAATGGCTGGGCCTGCCTTTGCCAAAAACTAATAGACACTTCTCCCAATCATTACTAATTGAATATTTTTAGATCATTTAAATCGGATGCTCCGTTCTCTCAAAAACTCGATTTCTATTTTCTGCACTCTTTGATCTTTATCTCCGTAACTGCTAGACCTGCCTTTGCCAAAAACTAATCAGCACATCTACCTATCAATAGGAATCGAATGCTTTTTGAACTATTTAAATCGGTTGATCCGTGCGCCCAAAAACGTGACCGAAAAATTGTATCCATACATACATACACACACGTCCTTTTTTTTCTGAAGTATGCCAAAATGTTATGAAACCTTCAAAACGTCGAGAAATGTAAGAATTTTCAATTTTGATTTTCGGCCTATTACAATAACTTATCTTACGGAAAGTTAAAAACAAACTCAAAAAGTGATTTTTAATTTTAACTTGGCTTAACTTAAAGAAATTATTTTTCTCTCTCGATTTACGTATTTATTTTATACCTATCATTACTAACGACATTGTTGGTCGTAAAACAATAATAAACAGGACGACTTCATTGATTATTTCTCTAATAAATAATTATTGACATTAATTATAATTGATTAACAATAATTATTCCACATTGTCTACGTATGAAAAATCCCATCGTTCATGACTATATATTTTCAATTATAGAACAAATTTGAAGAAGAAAACATCTAGACAAGATTGATTATGAAAAAAAAATTGGAGGATCATCAATATAGATCTAATATATTATTTAGATCAATATAATGACCAATACGACGACTGAAAAATAATATATAAATATGTTAAATTGTTCAATTATAATAGTTTCGATACTAAATATGTGTTGTCATTCAGCAAGAGAATAAATTCAGAATATAAAAATTAAATAAATACTGAACCACTATCAGAAATTTATAGAACATTTGAACAAGAGAAAACAATTTTATTTAAAAAAAATATTATCTACCATACATGTTTTTTATTTCGAAATGAAAAATGTTATATAAACCTGACAAAAATGATTTTGTCTTTATTACATTTTTATATTTGGAAGATTTTCTGATGCTGAATGATGACTCGCATATAGCGTCGAAATTATTACAAACAAATAATTATGTATATATATATATACTATTTTTAATTATTAAATAATTAACGCTTTTCATAATTTATTATGATTGATTCATAATCTATAAGAAGTTGATTTCGAATAAAATGTTAGAGCTGCTTCATATGCATTCAGGCGTCTTTATTTATAAATTTAACAATCCTTCTAGATTTTTAATTTATGTTATTTTGAATTCTATAAAAACTGTTCAATATATTATACATAATAATTTGAAGTTAATCACTACTTTGCATGGAATATAATCCTTTTAATATATACACTAAAATTCAATTTCTCTGATACATTTCATAAAATTTGTAATTGATTGTGTGAGAAATAAAAATCAGTTATGGTAAAAATAAAACCTTTTAATGTTTTTTTTATAAAATCACAGTAGTCCTTAGTATTACTTAAGTATATTAGTACTTTTCTAATTACTTGTATATACGAGATAGAGTCATACAAATTTACTTATAACAACCATTTCAGAGAGCATTTAGACAATTTTTTAATAAATTAATTATAAACACAAGATCTTATAATTTAAAATTGCATATTAAAAAATAATACAAATGAAGGGCCCATAAAAAGTACACGCGAATTAGATAGGTAAATATAAAAATGATTATTGGAGCATTCATTTTATGGCATGTGTAAATATTTTTTTGTAAAAATTATAGATGAAATATATACGCGAAATGAAAATGTTCAAAAATTACTGATTAAATACCTTTGCTACGTGAAAATGTCCATTATAATTACTTTTCAGCAATATTTCAATTCAAATATCAGTAATTTAGTAAAATCTTAAGACTAGAAATTCATATTTCATATTTAGTAAAATAGATTATAAATTTCTAAAATAAATTACTTTTATGTATCTTATTAAATAAACATAATAATTTCATTTTAACATTTGTAATGCATAATTATTATTAACAAGTGCATTAGAAACAAAGATCATAACAAATATTCTCGAATCAACTAGAGTTTATTTATCACAGAAATGTTATGTTTGATTCTTAAATAAGATACATAAACTTATTTGAAATATCTAGTCAAAAGGAAATATACTACTTGAATTAATAATGAAAACCTAATAATGATTTTAACTAGCACATTTGACCAAAATGTCTGTCTCAATTTGACCATATATTCAGATTCAAACAATCATTCAAATGCCCTGATAAATTTGTTTAAATCTAGATTATTAAAATACTTATTGCACACTTAAGCCTATGAGTCTAATATTAAGGCAAGGAAGAAAATGACCAATATCAGTAGAGACCAGCTCAAAACAATATTGTCAATGTCTTATTAATTAGAAAAAATATGATGAAATAATTTCCAAATAATAAAAACTGTGGAGTAGTTTCAACAAGACATAAGACATCAATATCCAAATTTTAACTGTTATCAAATGTCTTGTGTTTTGTGGATAAGTCATCATATTAACCAGATCACTAACACATATCTATTATCCTTAATTATAAATAAATAATTATGTTTAATAAAAACACGATTTTTTTAAATTAACCGTTTCTCAATGTTCTTTTTAACGTGCAATATCCTGCAATTCTAACGGCGACAAAAAAGGCGGCCAGGACACCAACGTCCACCCAATAATTGTCCAAATTCATATCCAATTCTTTGGTTATCGTCTTGGGTGACCTAATAGAATAAATTTATTTGTAGTGTCCATTTCTTATTGATTCATGGTGATTTTGCATGATGGCTGATGAAAATGAAATGAAATATTCGATGCTTCATGATGTTCCAAACCCAGAAATATAAAAGGTTGAATAAATTTCTTTGCAAACTTAATCTTGTTTTGAAATTATTCATTTCGAATAATTGAGATTTTGTGCTGATAAGCACTTTATATTAGACAAACTTTCGATTGTTGTTTTAATTATTATTTTTGTGGATTTTTGCTATTGCGATTACCTATATATATAATAATACACATGTTCCTATATATGACCATGTACACCTATACATAATCATGTACATGTTCATGTGTTTTCCACTAATTAGAATAGATGATCTCTAAAATTTTGCATGTGAATTAATTTAATTTTGCCAGAACAGAATCAAACAAATATGCAAAGTTATAAATCATCGCAACAAATTTATTTAAATTATCTTCAACAAAAATCCTTTAACGCCTGTTTTCAAAATATTAGTTATATGAAATCAGAGATGTAAAAGTCTCGAGAAAATCTTGAATTTGCACTTTTCACATTATTAACTTACCGTAGGGTGAGTTATAGTAATCGCAAAAAAATCGAAAATATTTATTTTATATATCTTTACGTTTTAAAGAGTTCTCGTTTTGGCATACCTTAGAAAAAATGTATGTATGTGTATGTGCGGATACAATTTTTCGAGAACACGGATCAACCAATTTGAATAATTAAAAAAACTTCGATTCCTATTGATAAGGAGACGTGCTGATTAGTTTTTGGACGAACCAGGTTGAGCCGTTACAAAGATACGGGGCAAAAAGTACCAAAAATGGTAATTCAATTTTTGAGAGAACGTAGCGTTTGATTTAAGTGATTCAAAAACACATTTTATTTGTATAGATAAAATGAAAAACTGATGAAATTTTTGGTAAGCCAGATTTAAGAATTTCGGAAATCCAATAAAAAAGTAAAAAAATGCCATTTAGCGGACAAAATTGATCATTAGACATATGCCCATTAATTTATCACTTTATAAATATTTTAATAATAATAACAAATTTTGTTTACTTTTCTATGGGCTTCGTACCAATTTTTATCCGAAATACTGCGACGCTCACGCGCTTTGTTATTTCGTTTCTACGCAGCTAACGTATCGCGAATGCTTTAAAAAAGTTCACTTTCCAAAATATTTCAAAGTATAAAAAATTCAAATTTTTCAGAAAGGTCATTTTTTTTTCAAAAATTGAATTTTTTTTATTACTTTAATTTTTGGTATGGGAGGTACCAGCAATTTGCCTTAAGACACAATGCCATGCACCACTAGTCTTGTTTTAAAATTACTGATGTATGGAATTTAGTACTGATGGACTAATGTACAAACTGATATTTTCAGGTTTGTGGTGATAAGAATATTATATAATCCATTATAAAAAACTTAATGTAAACTCAACGATTTTGATACATATTACATTTTTGATATTTTTGTCATGGTTCTATTCAATTTTTGAAAATAAATTCCAATACATTAAATCAGCTTTAAAAAATATATATCATATAACTCATAGAGTATGTAAATAGCTCTGATTGTTATATAATATGAATGAATAAAAAAAAATATGCACAGATGATATGTGAGTGTCAATTTTGGGGCATGAATTTCGCATTAGTTGACTTGCAGTATTTTATCCTAATGATAATAATTTTTTAGATACCAATATCATTGATAATTTGCAATGAATTTACATAACAAATCTTTATTTCTCTAAAGTTACCTGAAGTGGCAGTAAATATCTTCTGGGCAAGGCAAGTTGGCCCTTCCGTAGCCGTAACCTGCTATGAATAGACCTTCTAGGCCAAATTTAAGATAACTGATATTCGAAATATAACTCCAGACTATAGGCATATGAGTAAATTGTACTAAAAATCCAGCAAAGACCAGCATTGTACAGGTGAAAATTGCACCGAAAAATGTGCCATTCTGGAAAAGAAATCTCTGGTTAAGAAAAGTAATAGTAATATTTAATTCTAATTGATCACAAATCAGGGTAAATTGATTTCATTAACGCCAATTTGTATGTACAGAAATGATGGCACATTTTAATTGTCTGATAGTGAGTTACCCTTACCACTGGGTCTGTGACAGATCCTAAAAATATTCCTATTCCATCAGATGCTAAGGTAACCAAGACGCAAATGGCAACATACATCAGGAATCTATACATTTCTAATGGTTGATATGTCATCACATAACTAACAGAACAGAATAAAACAGAAAACATTATCTGAAAACAAAGAAAAATATTAGAAAATTAATTTATTTAAAGAATATTCAAAATTTTTATTTGAATTAATACTCACTTGTACTGGAATGTTTGCTACTAAAAATGCTGTATAATATGTCCTGAGCTTGTACCAATTATTGAAGCTTTCTTTTCTTAATACCGGTAATTCTGAAGGTACTGTAAAACATATAATGTTATTATTATTACCAATTAAAAATATATTTTTTAATATAATATTGAAAAAAACACTTAATTTCGATTTATGAACCCAGATCATTATTCATCAAAGCATGTATAGTTGCGTTGTGATTCGGTGTATATAATATATCATTTACAGAGAACCATTCTCTGCATGTTTTGGCTAATAATGTTTTCATTCATAAAAATCAGAATAATTTTATTCAGAAATTAAAAGTTTATTTTTGAGGAAGCCAAATATTTAAAAAAATAATTTCCTATTTTATACTTACATTTTAAAATTGCCGGCATCATAGTTGTGTAACACAAATAGACTAGTGACACCAAATACAAACTAACATTACTAATTGTCTTCAAACCATTTGAGCCTGAATCACCATATAAAAGACCCAAAATTACAGCAACTAATACGTGAATAATTGCTTTTAGGTGGGTTACAGTCTGTAAATAGATAAATACTTATAAATCGAAATATATTATTACATACAAATTAAAGTTTAAAATGATAATGAGTCAGCTGTGAAAAAACAATTTTATCAATGGGAACTAATTTTTAAATAGTAATTATTAATAATTTTCATATATTATAAATTAAATTTTAACTAAAAATATAATTCAATAAATTAAATCTACTACATATAATTTTTTTTTATATTTATCTCACCCAATCTCTATATAGCTGAACAAAACATCGCTGAAGTAATATCCAAAATTTGCAGAATTCCGAAGCTGGTCCTACTAAAACCATTGTTTTAGCAAATTCCTCACTATCACTTGGCTTAAGTGTATTATTATTATGGTGATTTTCTCTCTCAATGGAAATCATTTGCAATTTTTCTGGATCGTCGTCCGAACGCCAACTATTGTCTTGAGCAGCAAAATTCATTTGTTCTGTGAAGTCTCCATATTCTTTATTTGCCACTTCAAGAACTAGATAAAAGAAATATGTAATCAACAAAATGTAAATATTGGAAAAGAATTATTTCCTAAAATACTACGCCTTAAGGCGAGAATTCTAATACAAGAAAAAAATTAGAATTCTAATACCAGAATCTTGTTGACTAATTCATCTATCTATCTATGATCATCGTTATTAGAATCATAATTTGCAGTGAAGGATAAGGATATTCTAGAAATGTAGCAATTTGGAGAGGCAAAAAATAAGAACTTAGTATCTATTCTTACGGTAATCTGCAGGATTGTGATATTGCGGACAATGTAGGCCAAGACTTCCCAAGAAAGGAACAACATTGGCACTGTCGCCCTTATAAACGCAGGTTCCAGCAGCCAAGACGTACACATGGTCCATCTCCAAAAAAAGGGCGGCCGAGGGCTGATGAATAGTACAAACGACAGTTCTTCCTCCTCGAGCCAGATCTTTGAGCATTGATAGACACTGGGCAGATGAGGAACTGTCTAAACCTCTAGAAAATAGAAAAATAAATAGTTTAAATTGACGCACCAAGTAATAGATAATGAGATGATCTATTCTTTCTTTTTTAATATCTGGAGAGCCACAATCAAAATATCAATTTGAGATTGTTCAAAACGTGAAATCGCATCAATATTTATAGCAGACAATTGTCCTAGTCATTTGTGAACTAAGTATGTATAAATTCCTAAATATGATGAAGAAGTGCGATTATGTTTCTCCTTTTTGAATATGTCGAGAATCCATCAAGATATCATATTGAGATTGTTTCAGAATATAAGATCGCATCAATATTTATAACAGACAACACTAATAATACAATTGCCTGAGCCATTTCTGAGATAAAGATAAATTCTTGAAAGTGCAAGTCTGTTCTCCTTTTTGAATATTCTGAGAACCAATGAAGACATCAGAACTACAAGTTCAAGAACTTACAACTATAGTTATAATTAGAGTTTGTCGGTTTTCAAAAATCGGTTTTAATAACCGGTTTTTTTGGCAAAAATTATGGAATTCGAAAACCGTTTTTTGGTGGAAAAAGTCGGTTTTCACTGTATAAATGTAAAATGACAAATATAGCCAAATATAAAAGATAGTAGCAAGCTATTTAGTAAAAATAAAATTCGAAAACCGTTTTTTTGAAATGTCGGTTTTGTCGGAAATTAGGTAATTAATTATCCAAGTTCACTTGTACATATAAAAGTGAACTCATATAATTAATTACCTAATTTCGTATTAAAACAATTGAATACTATAATTATACACTTTACATTCTATCCAAGAACCGCTATATCATTGTTTTTATTTATTTAATTAATTAATTATCGTACATATCATTTTATCATTTGCAAAGTAGTTTCTGTTGCTCTGAAGCAAGGCGTAATAAAACTATTATTTTTTATACAACATTTATAACTTATATCAGAGATTCAATTCTCTGTTTTTCTACATTCCTTGAAAGAATCAGGAAGTAACACCACAATTCCCAGCATTAAATAATAAAATATAGATACGCAATTTATTGTCGTTGATTAGCATTCTTATCTGATAAAAACAAAAACTGATTGCATTAGAATATAAATCTAGTCCTGAATAAACAGACACAACAAAAAATCTAATCAATCCCGGCAGGTATGTTGAATCATAATTATTCATGATTCAAAGATGATAATATTATTGACACTTTTTTCAAATGGTATAGACAAAAAATTAAGATTAAATTAAAAAATATAAAATCATACTAATTTGGGATAAAAATGTAAGGAAATAGTTGTAATTGGCATTTTACCTTAAGACAAGTTGCATGAACTTCCTGATACGTATACATAATCAACTTAAAATATACATAATCAATAAGAATTTAGATTCAGCTATTTAGATAAAATATTCAACTGTTCATTTCAAAAATAACATTTTTGCTTTTACTAGAAAATAATAAGATTTTCAATGGATGTCTTCCAAACATATTAATTAATTTAATTTGTTTATAATTGAATTAAATCAATTTTGTTTCAAAAATATATTTTGTTTAAGTGTGGGCTAATCAACGCAATTGCCTACCATTATATTTCGAACAGTTTTTGAATTTTTATAATCTGTTCAAACTTTATTATTTTCTTGAAACGGCTTGGTCGATCGTCGCAGAAAACAGACCAATAATAGTTGTGATCGCGGTACATTGAATGGCTTTTAAATTTGTGAAATCGATCCAGCCGTTTTTTGAAAAAACGTTAATGAGAGGTCAAAAATCGGCTCACATACACTCAAACAAACACACACATAAATACTTTTTCTAAATTTGATCTCATTTGATCATTCGATTCAGAATCTTTAACGCTAGAGACCATAGTCAAAAAGTTCATACTAAAATATTACAGCCCTACGACAAGTGGTTTAATTTTAAAAATTCGCCGAAGTTTGCAAAAATTAGTATGTTTTTTTTTGCATTTGTCAAAATTAATCCTTTTATCGATGTTTGCTAAAAAACGCCTAAACCGATTTCAGAAATTTAAAAGCCATTTGATGTACATATCTCGAGGAGAACTATCGTTTGTCAGTTTTGTGCGACGATCTGCCGAGGCGTTTCTTTGTAATTTAGAAAAAAGTGTTAAACTTTTAGTCTACATTTAAGCTCATACTAACGATTCGATTTAAAAAAATCAAAAACTGTTTGAAAGATATTAGTTGGGAATGATACTGATTAGTTTTAGGTTAAAATCTACCGAGCCGTTTTCATGTAATTAACTGTTGAAAAAAAAAAATGCCGATTTTTATGGAGCATTTTTTGGGGATATATATCATGGTCTTATAGAACTTACTGAAATATTACGGCCTTACGACAAGTAGTTAAATTTTAAAAATTCATCAAAGTTTGAGAAAATGAGTAGTTTTTTTGACGTTTGTTGAAATTGAAATTAGACGATTTACTTGGTACAACTATAGAGTACTTGGTCTTAATGAACATAGTAAACCATTAAAGTCTTACGGAAACTGGTTCATTTATAAAAAATTTTGATTTTTGAAAATTTGCTTTTAGAAAATACTCCGAGTTACTCCGAGTGTTCGTTTGTTTTCAATTATGTGTAATGTGTAAATTAATTAATAAAATTAACTTACGATGTGGGTTCGTCCAAAAACAGAACCGGCGGATTGTCTATCAGTTCCAGCGCAATCGAGAGCCTCTTCTTCTGTCCTCCCGACAGCCGCCCGCACCTTGTGTTCGTGGTCGCCGACAGACCGATTGTCTCAAGGACGCCGTGGATCTAAAATATTTTACATTAATTAATTTTTAGACATTGCATATATAAAGAATCCAACCCAATAAACTAGCTAAAATCCTTTTAACAGTTATCTTTCCAACAAGACTTGAAAAACACATCTGATAGACTCTGCTACGAAGAATTTTTTTTTTCCTTCTTATCTATTTTTCTATGTAATGAACAAATAATTTCATATGTATATATATAAGATACCCTTATTCAATTGTAGTTTTTATTCATTTTATTTAAGGGGGAAGTAACACTGATAACTTTTGGGGTAGAGCGGTACCTAAAGATCCGCGGGTAAAATGGTTTACTACTAATATCTCAAACCTAAGTAAAGTTAGGAACTATAAGAGAGAATTCTTATAGTTGTTAAAAATCTTTTAACAACAATATTTGAAAGTGAAGTTAAAAATAGAAGTAGAAATGAAAATATCCAGCTATCACCTCAATTCTAGTGGTTGTGAGTACTATTGCTTAGTTTACAAGACCTCAATATAATTTTTAAGAATTCACCATTTAATTATTTCATTATATTATTGTCTTATTCTAAGTTTGATTCAACTTTTTTTTATATAATCTCTATATAAGGTTACACCTGGGTGGGTAGAAAATAAAAAATTACAAATAAAAAAGTAAATTAAGTTAAAATACGTAAGTTTACAAGAGAAAAATTAAATAAATAGTTATTCCAACTCTGTTGATAATATTTCTGATAAAATACCAGATCAAGGTTAATTACAGTAGGTATTATATCTGTAAAAAATGAGCCCATAAAATTTTTGTTTTGCTTTGGTTGAATAATGTAGCTATTATTTTGGAAAACCCTTCTATAGCTATTATTCTGTAATTAAAATAAAACATTGGACCTGTTTACACCCTTGCCGTCCTAATTTACCCCGCGTGTTAGTTAAAAAAGGGCCGGGTTACAAAAGTTTGAAAAACCACATTTTTACAATAATGAATTAGTTGGGAGTATGAATTGTTGAGTTGAGAAATGAATTAGTTTGTTTATTAGATTTTTTATTATTTATAAAATAAATAATGGCTACAAAATAAAGTTGAGGGTAAGATGAATCTAATTTCAAAATTTTATGCAAATCGGAGCACAGTAAAAAAATTCAAAGGGGAATAAAGTTGAGGTTAATGACACAAGCGCACTTTAAGACTTTATATTCGCTTAAATATCATTTTTTCCAATTTGATGTCCATTGGACAGTTTAAATTATATAAGATATATTAAAAAAATGTTTTACATATCATAATTTTTTCTATTAAATAAAAATGTATAGCGTTTTTAAATTTACGCTTCTTTGTATATGACGGACAGGTCATTTGGCATGTATAAAATTTTGTCAAATAATTTGAATGTCAAAGAGAATAGAACATAAAAAATTAATTATAATATATTAAAAATGCTCATAATAATTTCGTATAATTTAACAGCGCGTACAGCGCGCAAAATGCTAATTCATTCAACGATTAAACTTTGTAATTGGATTTTATTTTAATAAAATATCAAATATCAAATATCAAACTTACATATGTACGTTGATTTTATAATATTAACCTTGTATTACAAAATGTTCTAAAATAATTATTCGTTGACTTACATTAATTCGGTTTTATATAGCCTGAGATTATGCATCATTATTGTTGAAAATATATAAATATTTATCAGATATTCTAGAATTATTTAACAGTATGTTAATTATTACTTCCATTGCATATAAAGTTAATAAAGTAAACATCATTAATACTAAGTCAATCAAATCACCGTTACTACAAATAATTGAAAGAATGATATCCAGAACAACAACTTTAATCACTTCGATATAAATGGAATAAGATCCAATAATATTAATGATAAATATTTATTATTAATTAAAAGAATAATAACGACGTGACGAACACGTGTGAAAACATCAAAGAATTAAAATATGTATATAAACATGCTAATTGAAAATTAATTACTGAATCAATGTAATTACCAATTTATGCAATTCAATTTTTTTAGCGATTTAATTGAAATCAAGGTTTTATACGCCGGTTTCTAGAACACGCAATATTCAATTATCATTAGGAAAGTCCATTATAATAGACATATATATATAATATCTTCTTTATTTCAGTATTGCTGATTTATAAATAGGTTATAATGAATTACAATATATTTCAGAGTATTAAACATTGCTTTGTCCCAACGAATAAATAAGTAAATTAAATTGTTAATGATTAATGAAATGATAATAAAACTCTATTTAAATTTTTTGACCTCATACAAACTTGAACGTTTTCTTTCGATTAAAACCGCTGTTGATAATATAACTATACAAATATAAATTTATTAATATATATTTGATTTTAATATATGATGAAAATTTTCAATCACGATTACAAGATTATATTATTAATTGCATAACTAGAGACAATATTGTGGTTAACCTAGGCGTATAAAAAATTAGCGTTTCGTTGAAGATAATGATCAATTTTTGCACCTGGCTCGATCATGACCTAAATCATAGTGGTTTTACATAATTATTCATATAAAAGTATAAACCACAGATGTTTATGAAGGTTTTATACACAATTATTTAAAGGGCAATTTATTAATTACATGATGCCACAGTAAAAAATATATATTTATGAACAAAGCATTAAAATCATTTAGCAAAACATGTACTAATTAAGGAGTATGTGGTTCTATAAAATATAAAAAAATGTGCTTATAAGAAAATAGTTATTTATTATATAATAAAAACTTAGTACTTCAAAATTTTGAAGAAATTGCCAATATTTGAAATTTAAGATTTCGATATAGTAAGACAAACAAAATATAGGATTTGTCTGAATAATTAACTTCCCGAAGGAGAAGTTTATTTTTTTATGGATGCAAGCAATAAATACATTTTAATAGAAGTAGGTTAAAAATAAACTAAAACTAGTGGTGCATGGCATCGCGCCTTAAGGCAAATTGCAGGAACTTCCCGTGTGAAAATATTCGAAGAATATTAAATGTTTTCAAATATATTATAATTACTATTACTTTTATTATTCGTATTTTATAGACAAGTTTTTAAAGTTTATAATGTAATGTAAATGGATGATATTGTTCATATAGGTTTACATGAAAAGTAAAATAAACAAAACTTAATGATTTCCTTCGAAGGGGAGTTAGAGTGAAGAATCTTGTCTCATAATTCTAAGAATTATATAAACTGAATTGCAAAGTTAAAATTATTTATGTCAAGTAATTTAGCTAGAATTAGAATTAAAATCCGCAATTATTTTCAAAAAAAAATTTGTAAATTGAATTTTTCTATTTGACGGAAAATTGTATTCACACATACACACACATCCGTTTTCATGAGGTATGCCAAAATATTCAGAAAGCTCTGAAACGTGAAGATATGCAAAAATATTTATTTCTGATTTTTGTTAACGAGAAATTACAAATACAATTATGATCATAGATGTAAAATATGATTTTAAGAAAAACTGACTTTTAGAGCATTTCTTCAGCATATGAAAAATATATGATATAAATTACCATTGAAAAAGAAAAACCATTGGGTTGCCATGTATAATAGCATTATACCCAAATTAATGCAGGAAAAAAAGGTGAACTTTTGATTTCTTTTTACTGTGCTCCAATTTGCATGAAATTTATGGTATTAGGTTCATCTGATCCTCAGATTCAAAAGTATATATATATATATATATATATATATATATATATATAAAATAAATTTAGAAATATAAAAGAAAGTTAGAAAAAATAGAAAAATTAGAAAAAAAATCGTAACGATAAACGAACATTTAAAACATTATATGAAATGCATTTAATTATTACAAGCAAGATACAAGATAGAAGTGCCATAAATAAAAACGTTTTCTTATCCATCGTTTAATTATCCATTATCCCAATGACCAATTAATCTCCGATCACTCTGCTGCTAATTATTGTGGATAAAATAACATTAATTGCTGACATGTCATAATTGATTCCATATCAGTCACGGTGTCAAAGTTCAATATGAGGAGAATTCAAAGAAAGGTCGCGCATTCCAAAGCAAGGATGTTTGCATAAAAAGAGCCTTCGTGTCGAGACAGCTGTGACATGGGACACATGTTACATGAAAAATAGAAAAAGAATTATATGTAAAGAATCATGATAAAAAATCAGTTATCGTCGTGACAAAAATTTTTCCACGCGGGTCAAGTTCACGTACGTTGTTTGTTGACACCACGGTGGGGTATGTTGAATAGATAAGTGTTTGTTAATGACGGACTTGGTAAAAAAAATATAACAAAATATAATGCAATGTAATTATGACTGGTGTACATCGTATTTTAACATAGAAATTAATTCAAAATTGAACTATGAAACAAGACCTACTAGTCGGTAAGTTGGTAAACCAGCGGTTTGAAAGATCCAATAGAAAATGTAAAAAAATGCCATTTGGCGGACAAAAATGATCATCAAATTATCACATATTTTATAGATGTTTTAAGAATAAGAACAAATATTGTTCACATTTCTATGGATTCCGCACCAATGTTTATCCGTTATATATATTGCAACGCGGCGCCCACGCGCTTCTATATTTCGTTTCTACACAATTTCTAAAATATTTCAAATTATAAAAAAATCAAATTTTTCAAAAAGCTAAATTTTCTTCAAAATTTTAAAAAATCTCAAGTATGATTTTTTTCAAAGACTTAAAAGAGAATTTAATGTTTAATACTCACTTAATAACGTCATAGTGAATATGTAAATTTCTTAGGTCAAAATCCATAACACAGATTATTGATCCAAATGAGGTATAAATATGTTTTCTCGTAACAAAACAGCCAAGGAAAAGTTCATGGTTATCAATCCACGCGAGACATATGTTTTGCCATTGATTTTTGATAAATCCAAGGCGATGGAATACAACATAAATACATATATTTATATAATGCATTTGTTCATAATCTCATGTGTAAAAATAAATTGGGTAGATAACAAGTTAAGAATAAATATAACTTGAATTATGTCGTTCATAAAAATTAGTGATGAAAATAAATCAAAAGCGTATACTGCAGTTCTAACAAGAGGAGTATTAATTGACAAATATAACTATGACTTCTGGTAAGTATCGATATTTATGTTTTTGAAGTAAACTTCTATAGGCGCGACTAGGGTGTAAATCCGTACAAATGCAACGGATGTGCGTTACGGCAGATAAGCTAAGATAAGAGCCGAGTGCCAATGATTCGTCATTCGCTCTCGATTATATCATTTTTATACGGTATTGTGATGAGTCGTTGTATGCGTACCGATATCAACAAGGAAATCGGCATAAATATATAGACATTTTAAAGTTACATCGTAGTACAAATCTTGATTTAATGAAAAATGCCTGGATCAGAAAAATATTTTACCCTGTCCCCCGTAAATAATTATAATGAAAATATTAAAACAAATGCAGCAAATTATTGAAATAATTTTTATATTATTCGTAGTTTTTATAAATTTTTGAAGTTATTGAAATAGAAAACATTTTTAAGGTAAACATATATTACAGCTGTTCAAAAATGAGATTATATCGTCAGCGAAAAAGTAAAAAAATACCACCAGTCAATAAATGTATGTTAATTTTAATTACATGAAGTTCTTCGAGCATAAGCATTATTACATAATGAGGGAAGTTGCGAAAACAATATTTGTTTAGGCGTTGTTTAACATAATTCACTGTGTGAATGAATATTATAGAATTTATAATCAGCAATTACTTCATTTCTTTAATCTTTATTTCTAAATGCTAATTACAATGACAAACCGATCATGTATTTAAAGTATGACTTTAATTACATTATTGTTTTTAAATATTATACATATTTTTAATGCTATTATAAATATATAATTTGTAATTTAAATATAATTCTTTGACATTAATAAATGTGTACCTCACGAGTGTTACCATATTACTAATAAACATCATTCAAAATTGTTATATGAAGTATTTATTTTTACTTAAAGCCATCTTGTACAGTAGCAAATAAGTTTTTTTTATATTTTATTTTTCGAGATTATCCTAATTGTTCTTGCAGCAATTAATATTTGTAACTATAGTTTACAACATTTTTTCAAAAAAAAATCATAAGGTCAATCAAGCACATCGTTTCTACATATGTCTAGAGTTAAATTTTAATTTTAGCAGATTTTTATTTTGGATTAAAAACCGTAAGTCAAGTGAAGTAGTACTTCTTCATTGTTGATCATACGATACAAGAACCAAATTTTATTTGTCAGTCTCCACCAAATTCAAAATAAAAGAAGGCTCGAATCCAAAACGCATTGTGAACATTAGTACTTATTAAGAAAAAATAGCAAAACAAAACGATGCAAAGTGATATATAAGGTAAATATAAATATAAATATATACAAAAAAACATTATTTTTCTCTTACCAGCATCTGCTTAGTTTTCGTGCTGAGACCAGCTCCAAGTTTCAACTGAGCAGCCATCATCATGATTTCATTTACAGTGAACAAAGGATTTAGTTGATCATCTTGCATAATATACTGGATAACTTCCTAAAATGTGGTGGAACATATAATCCTAAACCTTTTTTTCTTAATTCTTGTTCAGATCCAGAAGTTCGTATCGTGCCTGTGACTCCTTCAGTCCTGTAATTATAAAGAAATAATATTTTTTTACAGAATCAATTATTTTGGCAAAACAAGCCATTCAAATCGGATGCTTAGTTCTCTCAAAAACTGTCATTTTTTACACATTTAGCTCGGTATCTCCTAAACGGCTAGACCTGCCTTTCATAATCTAATCACCACTTCTCCCCGTCATTACAATTGAATGTTTTTTAGATCATGCAGATCGGATGCTTTTTTCTATCAAAAACTCGATTTCTATTATCTGCACTCTTTGCTAAGTATCTCCGAAACGGCTGGACTTTATCTAATCTAATCAGCACATCTCCCTATCAATAGGAATCGAATGTTTTTTGAACCATTCAAATCGGTTGATCCATGCGCCCGAAAACATTGTACGAAAAATTGTATCCATACATAGAGATACACACACATCCATTTTTTCTGAGGTATGACAAAATGTTCAGAAACCTTCAAAACGTGAAGAAATGTAAAAAAAAAAAAAATTCGCTTTTTTGGACGATTACACTAACTTACTCTAAGAGAAGTTAATTAAATTCGAATTTTAAATTGTTGAGTCGAATTTGAATGAAATTAGAAGTAAGAAGAAAAGGTTAGAATTGGAGAAGATCAGCTTAAAAAGAAAAGAAAAATGAAGAAAACATATTGAAACTTTATATAAATTATTGATATAAAATAAATATATTAAATTTTAAAAAATAATATTTGAAGTTATTTAGTTTAACAATTAATTGCAAAAATTATATTAATAGTATTATTCATAATCCTATATATAATTTCTTTCCATATCGATATAACAAAATGATTCATTTATGCATAATTCTATTTACAATTTATTGTTGTATAATTTTTCTGAAAATTATTACCGATCGGTAATTACAAAAGAAACAACTTTTTGTCGTCATTATATGTAATAAGAGTAGAATATTGAGTTGATTTATAGGAATGAGTCGTCAAACTAGAACAATATGTAATAAAAGTTAGAATCTATGTAGTAAATCATCTATGGAATAAATATGAGACAAATTGGCGCTAATAATATATTTATATATGATACATGATACTTATCTACGTAACTTGACAGGTTAATTACATTTTTTCAGGAATTTAAGGTATGATAGAATTAAATAGTTTCAGTTATGGAGTCAGTAGATATTATTCGACTTACTAAAGCTAAAGATATAGTAACGTATAATTTTTATTATACATATATTGTTTCAAATTGCAAGATTTTTTTGATGTGATGCCCGATTATCATTATTACATATGTCAGCATTAAATTCACAATTATGCAAAAAATATATGTCTATGTGTTTTTCGTACGACGAAAACAGCGTCTATTAGTGCCTACTTATATAGCATAAAAATCTGTTTTTTTATTGTACAAAATGTATAATATCACCTTAATAAATTTATTGCAGTATAATAAAAAATACATAGTCAATTACAATTTCATGATGATGCAAAAACTACGATCCGTCGTTGTTCATTGACATTGAAAAAGACACGCATGGGCGAACGGGCACGCAACATTATAA